ATTTTCAAGCCTAACATCCAAAAATATTTTCAAATCTTCAAAACAAACTTTCCATCAGAAAATGAAATTAAATTTCCCCCATTAGCCCTCTTTCACTCTAAAATTTATTTTACTTGGGTTTTTTCTTGGATTCTCGAGTTTTTCCCTGATCCAATTCCAATCATTAGGAGAAAGTTCAGGGTAAAATGGTGGGATAAATTCAAAATTCTCTCAAACCTTTATCCGTACAACATTCTAGAATGGATAAATATTCAAAATTCTAACTCCTGCACCGCCCTTACCCAAACACCAAACCAAAACCAAACACCGGAAACAACTTTTTTCTTGGCCCAAAAACCCATATTGTTATCGATGCTAGCAGCAGCCTGAAGAAGAAATTAAGGCAATCTCCTTACAATTCATGCCTTCAATCTCAGACTCTATTTCACAAAGCATATGAAGCGCATCAGAATATAATATCCGGGATGTCAATGAAGAAATATTTGAAAACAATAGAGTATGATTTCTCGTCACAAAAATATAAATCTCGACAGAATCATTGTTACGAATATTTGCAATATCTGTGAATCTTTTGATACAATCCACAACGACGAAATGCGATAACACCGCACCTTGAAGACTGCATTTTTCGGTATTGTTTTCTGGAGACGTGACAACACTTCAATATTGGAGACAAGCTTTTGTGAGTGGACTTATCCATTCTCTACCACTATTATATGTTTTATTATTTTTTTTATTATCTGAACTCTTGTAAAACTCCTATATAAAGGAGTGTGTGTTTAGTTGTAATCTCTAAGTTCTCATTTTCCATTTTCATCCCTCTCTTTCATTCTCTTTCTCTACCATATTCTCTAAATCTTGTAATCTTCTACATTGTTACGATCTCCAATTAGTAAATTTTTCAAACTTGTACTATGGCTGGTTTAACCACCTTTAATATTATGTAATAAAAGTATTTAATTTTATTTATATTACAGTTTATGTTTATGTTTAAATTTATGTTTAAGTGGCTGGTTTAACCGTCCATTATACTAAATCATCAATATCTTTATCATTTTTATTTTTATTTATTTTTATCTTATGTTTGAAAATTTAATGTTACAATTTATTATGAGTTACTTCTGTTTCTTATGGTATCAGAGCCATGCTTTTGTGTTCAGGGATAGTTAGAGGTCATATTTATTAAGAGTCTTAGATCTATGTTTCTTGTGATCTTTTATTAATCTCATTGTTTTTTTCTTGGAAAATGAACTTTATTCTCCTGAGTGTTTTAGCCCGTCTAAAAAGGGTTATAAGTCTCATTGTTACTAGACAGGATTGTAAGGAGTCATAAATTTTTTTTCTAAATATACCAAAAATGAGTTTATTTAATACATATCAACATCAAACAGGTCCGAGTCCGCTTCTTCTTTTACGTCTGATAGAAAGTCTCTTAGAAACTCAAAAGGGGTCATTACTAGTCATGAAACAGTTATAGATGATATCCAATGTTCAATTGATAATTGAGAAATTCCAAAAGTTCATAAAGAACAAATTTATCAAATTTTAAAATTTAATTTTCTAAGAAAAAATTACTCAATTAAAACTGAAGAACGAGATATACAACTTACAAAAACTTTTGAAATAACTCATTTGTTTTCGGAAAATGCTTTAAAAAGACATATAGAAAACATATTTAAATATATACATATTGGTTTAGTTCAAGTTGGAATTAAACCACTTTCAAAAGAAGAATTAAATACTTCAATTATAGTTATTTTACTAATTACGTGATTTAAAATATTTGAAGAGTCATTACTAAGCTCTATTGAATCAAGTTTGTACACTGGTACAATTTTATTTGATTGCTATCCATATTTTACAATATCTTTAAAAGACAAAAATATCTTAAAATCTCTAATTTTACAAGTTAAAACTCACAATTATGAAAGGATCATTTCCAATTGCTATAATTTTTAGAGTTCATGATAAAGCTATGACAAGTGCTTTCTCTTCAAAAGTAAAAATTTCGAGTAAAAAGGGTGAACCCCTTTTATTACAAACAGATCTTTCGAGATACAATTATGTAATTCCAAGATCTTTTCAATGGAAACACATAAATCTTCCTGATGAATGGGTCTTTGAAGGAGTTGTCCAACCAAAACCTACAAAACCTCATGAACCTTTATAGCCAAATATATGTTTAAAACATATTGAACAATTTAATGATAGAAATGTAGAACTTACTTTCATAAGAAATAACCATGAAAATGTAGATGATTACTCATGTGAATCTCCTCTCTTCCAGAAACTGTTGATCTAGGAAGAGTTTCCCAATGAGCACAAGATTTTTCCAGAATGGAAAATTGTCCAAAATTCCAACCACAGTTTTCAACTTCTGATATTATAAATTCTGTTTTAAGAAATGTTGATTTTCGAACACAAATCCCAAAACCTGTTTACAAAACAGAAAGTAGTTTTCAACATAATGAATTTTCCACAAATTCTGAGCCAACAAGCCCTACTTTTTTCAGATATTACAAATAATATGATAAATGAGTTAAATGTTTTAGAAAAAGATTTTCAAATCGATAAAAAAATTTATCTGATAAATATATTCTAAAAATCACACCCAAAAAAGACTTTGGTTTTTCGAAAACTTTTTAAAAATAGAAATATAATCCAAGAATAGTTTTACAAATATCTCCATGAACATAAAATACAAATTTTATTTTTCCATTGGTTTGAATACTATGCATTCAAAAATAGTATATATTTTCCCTTTTCTAACACTGCGAATCCAATCACCAATCGCAATAAAACCCCTGAATGGGAAAGCCTTCCCCATGGAAAAATTACCTGTTCCAACCAACCCCCCTTCAACAAGGAATCAAGCTTGAATTGTTGGGAACACCAATTGAAGCGATTCCTTTTAAACGTCTCCAAGATGATAATAAGATTAATATCAAAAATATTATCGTCCAAAACAATTTTTCAAATACGAATCTTGGAACGATAGGCAAATAGCTTGATATAATTAAAAAATCGATTCAAAATCAACCTATCAATCCAATCGATTCTACCTTTGAAAAGAAAAGAAAAAAAATACCCATATTCAAACCATTCCAAATTTCTAGCTCCAGTGTCAAAACTTTCTAAGAACGAATAAAGAATTCATTCGTGCTCTCCAAAGCCAACTAAGTAAGGTAGACATAGGAGAAATTACCACATCTCATGAATCTGATATTCTTGATACTTCTACTTCTAAATCCCTAATAAATACTCTAGCTAATGAATTCTATGCTAGTGAATCCTCTGAGCAAAATTCAATCCCTGAGAATAATCGTCTTGGTCGGCAAAACCATCAAGATCATCAATTAATCTCTGCCCCTGACCTAGGTCAAATCCAGACAATAGAACAATCTAGGTTCAATTCATCTTCAGTTTATGACTGGAATATCGATGGCATATCTGAGTTCAATATCTTAAATTTCCTACAAAAAATGACAATGGCCGCAAACGCCTATAAAAATCAAGTAGGAAATGAGGATAGAACCATAGCTGAGCTCCTAATAGCTGGTTTTTCAGGCCAGCTCTAGGGATGGTGGGATAACTACCTAAACAATCAGAAACGCTCAGAAATCCTAGATGCCGTCAAAACGGATGAGGATAATGTGTCCATACTAGATAATTTTGGAAATCCCCAATAAGATGTTGTAGCCACCTTAGTTATAGCCATAACCTTGCATTTCATAGGAGATCCCTCAGTACTTAGAGATAAGAATACTGAACTCCTTTCAAACCTTAAATGCAAAAGGCTTAGAGATTTTCAATGGTACAAAAACACTTTCTTAAGATTCAAACCAACCTTTTCAGAAAGAAAAATTCCTTGCAGGACTCCCAACCTTTCTAGGAGAAAAAGTTAGAAATAAAATTAGAGATTCCACGGGAACCCAAATAATTGATTATGATGATTTCACTTATCGGGAGTTGATCAGTATTGTTCAACAAGAAGGTCTCAAAATCTGTCAAGATTTAAAAACTCCAGAAACATCTTAAATGGGAACTCAAAAGAACAAAAGTAGAATTAGGCTCCTTTTGTAGACAATTCAAAATTGATCCCAGCAAAAATAGTAAATCCTGCATAGGAGATTGCAGTTATTCTTATTATTCTAACAATAAGCCTAGAAAATACTCTAAAACCTATAAAAATCATAAACCTCGCAAAAATTCCTGGCAAAGACCTCGTAAGAGATTTACTTCAAAAGAAATAACAACCACTAAGCCATTCTACAAAAATCTCACTTTCTTGAAATGTAATAAAAAATGTTACACTTTAAAATTCTGCCATTTTAACAGAAAAATCCAAGAACTCGGCCTTGGAGAAGAACTTTCGAGTAAAATATCAAATCTCTTGCTAGATCATTCATCATCATCGGGTAATGATTCTGATTCATCATTATCCTCTGAAAAAGCGCTACAAGTTGATGAGCTAAAAAACTCATCATCTGGCTCTGAATATGATGAAAATTAAATAAACGTACTTACAAAAGATCAAGAATCTCAGATTGAAATCTTGAATTCCATTTCAAATCCTCAGACCAAAAAAAAAGTTCCTATAAACAATCATTTCGTCCCTGAACGAAAAAGAAATAAAAATCTCTGAATATACATCAAAGCCTCATAATCCAACATCTTCAAAATCATCTTATGACCTAACCACAATCCTTAACAACTGAAAGAAAAATGGTTTTAGAATAACAATTCAAGATCTTAGGATGGAAATAAAAGAAGTAAAAAATTAACTCAAAACTCTTAAAGAAAAGCAAAAAAAAGAGATTCTGACACTACAAGAAATATGCTTATTGATAGCACATTTTAATAGCGTAATATTTGTAACTGCTATTAAATGTCATTTTCGGAATTGGGTACTCTAATATAGCACTTAAAAAATGCTAAAGAGTAAATAATGTGAGCGGGAACAAAAAAAAGACTTATGCGATGTTGCTGAAGGTTTAGACATGAGAGAAGACGAGTTTCTAGCTAAACTTGCTGATGCCGAAACGCCATTGTATCCAAGTTGTGCCAGCCATAGCAAGCTATCAGCAATTGTATCGTTGTTTAGGCTGAAGACTCAGAATGGGTGGTCGGACAAGAGCTTCAACGAGCTGTTAGAGACACTGCCGAGTATGTTGCCGGAGGATAATGTGCTTCACACCTCGTTGTATGACGTGAAGAAGTTCCTCAAGTCTTTCCATATGGGGTACGAGAAGATCCATGCCTGTGTTAATGATTGTTGTCTTTTCAGAAAGGGGTTGAAGAAGTTAGACCCCAAGTGCAAGACATCAAGATGGAAGACTAACTTCCAAACCGGTGAACTTAAAAAAGGTGTCCCTCAGAAAGTTTTGAGGTACTTTCCCATCATTCCGAGGCTGAAGAGGATGTTTAGGTCAGAGCAAACTGCTAAGGAGCTACGGTGGCATTTTACTAACAAAAGTAATGATGCAAAGCTGCGTCATCCCGTAGACTCCGTAACATGGGACCAGATGAATTCCAAGTACCCGTTGTTTGCCGCAGAATCAAGGAACATTCGGCTAGGTCTATCTACCGACGGTTTCAATCCATTCAGCATGAAAAATACAAGGTATTCTTGTTGGCCTGTATTGTTGGTGAATTATAATATGGCTCCAGACTTGTGTATGAAGAAGGAGAATATTTTGCTTTCCTTGTTGATTCCTGGACCGTATCAACCTGGCAACAGTATAGATGTGTACTTGGAGCCACTGATCGATGACCTCCAACGATTGTGGGACATTGGAGAGCAAACGTATGATGCATTCAGTAAAACCACATTCACAATGAAGGCAATGCTATTGTGGACTATTAGTGACCTACCTGCATATGGAAATCTGGCTGGCTGCAGAGTAAAAGGTAAGATGGGATGTCCATTATGTGGAAAGCATACTGATAGTTTATGGTTACCTAATAGCAGGAAGCATGTTTACATGTGTCATAGAAAGGGATTATCACCCACGCATAGTTACCGTGGGAAGAAGGCATGGTTCGATGGAAAAGTTGAATATGGAAGGAAGGGTAGGATTCTAACGGGTCATAACATATCTGTGTTGCTGAAGAATTACAAAAACGAGTTTGGAAATGTTAGACAAGCTGGAAAGAAAAGAAAAAGGGTTATTCCTGCGGAGTCATTAGCTGATAGTGAAGACGAAGAATCCGAATCAGAGGAGGAAGAGGAAATAGATGAAGAAGAATTATCTAGATGGAAGAAACGATCTATCTTTTTCAATCTTCCTTACTGGGAGGTATGTTATCATTTTACAACTTCATTTATATTTGTTAAATACACTATACATAATTTAAAGACTTTCAGCTAACATGTCTAAATGCAACCCATAGGAACTCCCGGTCAGACATAACTTAGACGTTATGCACGTAGAAAGAAATGTTGCAGCGAGCATCATTTCCACCTTGCTGCATTGTGGAAATTCAAAAGACGGTCTTAATGCTCGTAAAGATCTACAAGTCCTTGGTATTAGGAAAGAGTTGCATCCTAAAGCCAGAGGCAAACGAACTTACTTACCTGCAGCACCGTGGACTTTGTCAAAGGAAGAGAAGAGACTATTCTGCAAGCGTCTACATGAGTTCAAAGGACCGGATGGTTATTGCTCCAATATATCCAGGTGCGTATCATTAGAAGAGTCTAAGACAATGGGATTGAAGTCACACAATTACCATGTGCTCATGCAACACCTTTTACCAGTTGCACTTAGAGGTCTTTTACCGAAAGGGCCTAGAATAGCCATTACACGATTATGTGCATTCTTCAACAATCTATGTCAACGTGTTGTTGATAGGGAGAAAATATCAGGAATGGAAAATGAAATCGTTGAGACTATTTGTATGTTTGAGAGATATTTCCCACCTAGTTTCTTTGATATAATGGTTCACTTGTGTATACATCTTGGGAGGGAAGCTAGATTAGGTGGACCTGTGCACTTTTGATGGATGTATCCTTTCGAGAGGTAAGCTGTCTATACAAGTTTTTTGATAAGTTTGCTTGCCACATATTTCATCTTCCATTATCGTTATTCTTGTCTTCTTAATTCCTACCAGACACATGAAACTGTTGAAAGACTACGTCAGGAATCCTGCAAGACCGGAAGGATGTATTGCTGAATCATATCTAGCAGAGGAATGTATGCAGTTCTGCAGAGATTTCTTGAGGAAGACCACAAGTGTCGAAGATAGACAAGAACGAAATACTGAATACGAAAGCACTTCTATACTCGAAGGGCGACCTATTTCTGCTGGGAGGTCTATCACACTTTCTGAAGTGGAAAAGAAAACAGCACACCTAGCTGTTATTCAGAATACTGCACTGGTAGATCCTTATGTAGAGTAAGTTCTAATTTCTTTATTATGCTGCATTCATATTCGGAATTCAGTCTTTATACTAATATATTTCATTGTTGTCTAATGTCACTTTGTAAGCATGCATCTGTAATACCTGCAAGACACAAACCCACGGTGTAGACAAGATGCTACTTTCCTATGGAGTACTCACACTAAAAATGCTACTTTCCTATGGAGTACTCACACTAAAAACTTTTCAGAGTGACTTAAAAAAAGTGTAAGTAAGCTGTTTAAGTTCCGTATTAATACAAGGTACATTTTAAACGTATTGTTGATTTACTTACTACATTATTTTTTGTCAGATACCACTTGACTCTACGGAACATGATGACACACTTAAGTGGATTTCATATGGTCCACGTAATATGGCTAGATCATATACTGGTTACGTTGTTAATGGTCTGCGGTTTCACACTACATCAGTTCAGAGACAAACGCAAAACAGTGGAGTATATTATGAAGCAACTGCAATGTGTCGAGCCAGTGCAAGAGACACTTCCCAAATCGTGGATTTGGTTTCTTATTATGGCAGAGTGGTGGACATTATCTTATTAGACTACAACGTATTCTACATACCTCTATTCCGATGTCAATGGGCGGTCAGAGGCAACGGTGTGAAGGTGGACGAAGGTTTTACGTTGGTCAACTTGAACCAAAGTCAAGTCTCTTTCGCAAGGGATCCATTCATTCTGGCATCTCAAGCTAAGCAAATATTCTATTCCAGAGAGGACGAGTCTTCAAACTGGTATGTGGTTATGAGAGGCCCTTCAAGGAGATACACTAAGGCAGACAGTGATGAGGCAGATGCTGGGCCATTACCATTGAGTGTTGACATGAACGTAGAAGATGTTGACGCTGAAGACCAACCTGCAAGGGTTGATTGTGAAGGAATATACGTTTAGGACATATACGTTTAGGACATATACGTATTACCTATTGCGTAGTTAGAGTCGTTGCTTTCGGTTTAGTGTCTATGCTTGACTATATGGAATATGGTGGTCTGAATTTTTCACTGATGGGTTGTATTGAGTGTTTCAGGTGATAAAGTATGGGTCGACCAAAGGGAAAGAATAGAAAAAGGAAGAATTTATCTGAGGAGCCAGAATTTATTGGGATAGTATATCCGGAAAGTATGCATGATGGAGGAGAAGACAATGCAGCCGGAAATGATCAACCTGATGAAGTCATGAACGAGGCGGTGCAGACGCAGATTAATGATGAGACGCAGAGTCCAGAACATAGAGTGAGCTCTCAGGAATCAGATCTGAATGATGGATTACCGAATGTTGATGAGGATGCATTCAATGAACATGCATTCATGAATGATGAAACGCCGGCGCCTGAATCAGAAGGGACTACAGCTCCAAACAAGCCTAAGCTATCTAGAGGTCCAACAAGGATGAAAGACATCGCAAGAGATCCTAACAGTCGCATAAAGGTTGAATTCAATAGCATGGGAGAACCGTATGGATCAGGATCGGTTAAGCTGTCATCTTACCTTGGGCCCTTGGTGCGTGAACACGTCCCTATCATTATTGAAGATTGGAGGAAGATTGGTGAAGAACGTAGAACAGTTCTATGGAAATCTGTACAGGTAGACCCACTTTAATTTAGAATAAGGTAAGTATAATGGACTTTTTTTTTATTGTTTGATTTGGAATTTATTGTAGGCAAGGTTCGAGTTAGATGAGGAGTATCACAAGATGGCTGTCATCAAGCAAATGGGTTGTATATGGAGGGCCTCAAAGTCGAGGCTAGTCAGCCAGATCAAGAGTTGTAAGAATAACGCAGAAAGATTGAAGCTTCGCCCAAAGAATATTCCACCGGCAGAATGGCGCAAATTTGTGAAGGCTAAAACTAGTGCATCATTTGAGGTAATCACGTAGCCCTCACTTTACTTCCATATACAGATAACTGAATTTTCGTTTTCAGGAACTAAGTGACACATATAAAGAAAGAAGACGAAACCAGATTCCTCATACTTGCAGTCGAAAGGGGATGGTCAGACTGGCTGAAGAGATGGTAATATTCCATATGTGTAATACTGATGCAACTATATGCAAATAACTAACATTGCCACCTATTTTCAGAAAAAAGAGAGCTCTGAACCGTCTGAAGTAACTAGACTACAGGTATGGGTTAAGTCTCGAACAAAGAAGGATGGCACTGCGGTCAATACAAATGCAGCCGAGAAGATCGTAAGTAGTTAACAATAACTAGTTGGTTTATTTTTAAAAGTTGATGAATACTGGCGTATCTTGGCTGATGTCGAAAGTGTGTGTACAGAAAAAGGCAGCTGAACTTGTTGAAACGGTTTCTCCCTCTTCGACGTCCACAAATCCCAAAGAAGATCTCCTTTCTCAGCTACTTGGGCCTGATAATCCCGGCCGTTTGAGAGCGATGAGTAGAGGGATGAGTCAAACCAAGTTAGCATGCTTCCAGATGAAAAGCAAGTTTATGGATAATATGAAACGAGACCAACTAAGATTGATTCAGCAGGTCCATGATTTAGAGGAAGCACTATCAAAAATACAGAACCAGGTAAGCGAGTATTTCATGTCTGGTGATAGTAACTCTGAATTTTACATTGTTATTATATTAACTTAGGTTGTTATTTCAAATTACATTTTTCAGAAACAAGAAGCTGAAGTCGGAGAGAATTCTGCGCCAAGAGTAAACTCTTGTTTTGTCTTATTTAGCATTTAAAATATATGTCATATGTTTACATCTGTTTTTAAAATTCACCATTAACGTTTGTAGAGTGTCAACATGAAATTACAAATGAAGTGTCTGTTATTCGACTGGGCTGGAACGGATGAAAAAGTTGGTGAAGGACGTATTTTGTCTGAAGAGCCTGAGGAATTTGTCAACAGTATACCCTTAGGCCCAAACTCATACAAAGTTTTGGTGGAAACAGCAATTAAGCCAGAAGCTTATCTTTGGAGACCTGCTCGCAAAGTCTTTAATATGGAGCAAGCAGTTGGAGAGATGATTGCATGACCTCAATATTTTGTGGTTCCCTTTAGCAGCGGATGTTAACCAGAAGACATTACGCCTCTGGTAAATATTCTTTCAGTACGGAATATTATAGTTGAGTTTATAGTAAAAGTAAAACTGTGCAATGCTTGATAATGGTTTCATTTGTTTACTGCTTCACAGAGTCCTAATACTAGCTCTCGGAACTTCTGCAAGCTGCTTGACTGGGCTAGAACTAACGAGGAAGTTGTTGCAGAGGGTCGTTGGCATTCTCGAGAGCCAAAAGCATTAGTCAACGGACTACCTCTCGGACCTAATGCAGTGAAGGTATTCGTCGATGTGGTTTTATGCCCAAATACCTTCCTCTGGAGGCCAACGACTGAGTTCTTAGATTTGGAGGATTCAGTCAACACCTTTGTCGCCTGGCCTGCTAATAGAGTAATCTTTGAGGCAAGTCCTGAAACGAGTTCTCCTATTGCTAACTCTGAATCAACTCCACCAGCTCCAATAAAAAAACCAATGAAAGCAATGTCAGAAAGTTCTACTCCTATAACTCAGGTAGGTTTTCTTACTAAACTTTCATTTGTTTGGTTTGTTTGGATTTGTTGATTTCGTGTATAGCTATATATTCAAATTGTCTTCGCTACAGGAATCCAACCAAATGGAAACGGGGAATGAAAATAAGAAGTGCTTGGTGATGGCTATTACTGGAAAGAAGCGAGTGATTGCTGAAGGACGTTGGTCCACAAATGATCCACTTCAAACAGTACATTTTGTTCCCTTGAGTCCAAATGCAGTTAAGGTGTGGATTGATGTTGTCAAAGTTAAAGATGCTTGCGTATGGAGGCCTTCGTCTGAGATCGAGTGCATGGAAGATGCAATAGGAACAGCTATTGCTTGGCCAGAGGATAAAGTGGTACTCGTCTAAATGCAGTAGTCATCTGATACTTTAGTTTTTATCTTCTCTGAACTTAAGGATGGTTTCGTTGAAGACATAACCTGATATGTGTTTATGGTTTTCTTTGTTGGAAATGCTTGTATGTTGCTGAAACATTAACCAGTACTCAGTTCTTCTATATGGAAAAGCAGATGCATTTCAATTTTTGTTTACCAGGTTTTGATATTTAGTAAGTGCATTTCTTGAGGTTTTGGATATATCGTATTTGGTTAAAAAAAACCTACATCGCCAAATTCAATAGCACGTAAGAACAGCTCCAACACTAAACAATATAGCGTGAAAAGATAGCTACAGTATATGATGTTGGAGCTAAAATATAATGCTACGACTCAACTAACAACAGCAATGAATTTCTCTTATAGTAAACTAGAATGTAGCTATAAAACCACGCTACTATAAAGGTGTCAATAACACATAAATAAAGCTACAACATTTAATAATACAGCGTCTAATTTGTGCTACCGTATCATTTATAATATCATCATAACAATGCTATTATATATATGAATATAATAACACTTTCCATAAACGCTATAATAAGGGGTGTACTCTATTATAGCTCCGGCAGATACAGTGTTTATGAAAACGCTATGAAAGTACTTTCATAGCGTTATTCGTATGCTATGAATGTACCTTCGAATAATTCACAAATTATTCTGAAGGAGTTTCCAAAAAAACTCACCCTCTGAAAATTTTGAAAAAAACTATTTACCAAAACACTATAAATCTTAGAAAAGGATTTTTGGTCAGCAACGACCCGTTGTTAACAATCGAAACCTCATAATACAGATAAAACTGAGTTATTCTTTCAAATTTTGAAAATAACAAAATCAGTGTCCTTTAAACACTTTTATCTCAATGAAAACCACACTAATCCTGCTTATTCAACTTTTAAAATACATAAGGTCATTGCTCCAAGCGATTGGGAATATGATCTTAATAAAAGTCTAAATTTCCCAGAAAATCTAAAAGATCTCTCATGTTTCAATGTCTTTTTTAATTAATGAGACTATTGTCAGACTTTGTATAATTTCTTTTTAATCAAATCTCCAAAACACAAACACACATGGTTTGTGTTTCACAGACCTCAGGAATCGGATCAGAATATAATATCCCGGATGTCGATGAAGAAATATTTGGAAACAGTAGTGTATGATTTCCCGCCACCAAAATATAAATCTCGACAGAATCATTATTACGAATATTTGTAATATCTACAAATCTTTTGATACAATCCACAACTAATAAATATGACAATACCGTACCTCGAAGACCGCATTTTTCAGTGTTGTTTTCTGAAGACGTGACACCACTTCAATATTGGAGACAAGCTTTTGTAAAGTGGAGACAAGCTTTTATTATTATTTTTATCATTTGAACTCTTGTAAAACTCCTATATAAAGGAGTGTGTGTTTAGTTGTAATCTCCACGTCCTTAGGTCCACCGGGGGTGAGAGTCTTCCAGGGTAGGTAAAATGTATGTTTCCCGCAGGTGAGAGTCTTCTAGGGCCGGTGAATTGGGTCAACTTGTTTTCCATGTATCTTTTGATTGCACCGTTGGATCTTCATGATGTAAAGTGCTATGGAAAGCTGGTTATCTCCTCTTGATTTTCTCCAAATTTTAGCTGGATCGGACGGTGAGAACTTCTTCATTTGAGGCTGAACTTCGGACGGTCTGACTCTGAGCTGAAAAAGTGGATTTTTTCCATTTTACCATCATTTTCCCTAAGTTTCCTGAAAAGAGCCTTGAAACTACAAATACATGAAAATCATAATACAAGTTTTTAAAACTGATTAAAACTTTGAAAAAGCATTTGAAATCAATGGTAAAAATGAGTACAAATACGGTGTTATCACCCGCACAGTAGACCGCATCAGGTATTCCTACGGATTTCCGTTGGATCTTAATCCTACGGATTTCTGATGAATATTATTCCTATGGATATTCCGAAGAATTTCCGATGGATGT